AGTTTCATTATGCAAATCATCAACACCCATACTTACATCACTTGTGATAAAACCTTGATTCAAAATCAAATTCTCCTCAGCAGATGTTGACAGGCTTTCTATAGTACTCACTTCCTCAGTCACTAAACTTTCACTTGGATCTTGCTCAACATCAGCTGAAGGACCTGCAATGATACTTACATTACCTCCCACTACAAACCTTTCACCTAACAACTCAGCTTCCATAGTTGTGGAATGCACATCCTCCTGAGCCATGGGTTGAACAAAAAAAGGGCTGTACAGGATTTCAACCAGCCTATCCCAGTCACGAGCACCAGTTCTCCGAAGCCGCTTTGTCTCAATCGTCAGCTTTTTAACTGTATATGCAATCCTTCGTACACCTGCCTCATCGTGCTCAGTACACAAATGCTGCTGCACTGCCAACTGCCTACTAAGTTGTATTACAGGAGTGGCACTGGAATAATGAATCTGGCGTGCAACATATCCATTAAGCAATGGAAGTGAGGGTTCTAAGAAACCCTCAAGCAGGCCTGTATAACTGGAAACAGATTTCATAATTTATTAGTTCTTAACTTCAATTAAAATAGACAAAAAATTATAGACATATATGTTAAGGTATAATCTGAAGTCAAAATAAGAAAGCAAGTTAACAAAAATTAATTCAATTAATGTTTAGGTAGATTTGTTGTAGTATATAAATTAAAGTAAGTAAGTATAAACTAATTACTGGATCCTAATAAATAAATGAAACAGTTTGAAGTAACAAATGTCAAAATTAATTTAAAATTAAAATAGAAGAACTAATCACACTTAATAATAAATTAGAAAATCTAGCACACTCTTGAAAATTTGATTGTCTATACTATAGACTATACTATCCAGGCCTACATTTTCTGATTTTAATTATAATAGCCTACTGCAATTAAAGAGTCTGTAATTTTTAGGAGAGAATAGAAAAATAATACTTATCTTGTATTCTTTTTGTCTATTTTACAAATATTCTAGATGAAGAATTAGATTTAGACTGCTTGTCTCTAGATCTAGCTAAGCTAGTACTTAGCTAGAGTCCTAGTTTAATATTAATATGTAGACTAGACTGAAAATGAAAAAGTGAAAGAAAAATAATTGATATGCGCAAAGTATTGCTATATTTTTTAAAATGTGCATTCTAGGCCTAGATCTATTATAAATTATCTAGAACAGATTTAAGAATCTAGACTAGATTTAGAATATATTTATTATTCATAGGCCTATATAATAGTATTAATAGGGACTACTATTATAATATAGATCTAGATCTATAATAATATATATATATATACACACACATATATATATATATATATATATATATATATATATATATATATATATATATATATATAGAATCTACTAGGCTAAAAATCTTTAAGATAGATCTAGATCTACCTACTAACTAGATTTTAGAATAAATAATAGAATTTAGATCTACTTGTTAACTAGTTTTGTAACTAGGCTGTACTTAAAATGATTAAAATGTTCTTGATAGATCTAGAATCTAGATCTAATACAATTATAATTTAATGGGCCCTACGTAAGTAAATTTAACAAAATTAATTCAATAACTCACATATATGTAATTATAATAGGCCTAAGTCCTCAGTATGAGTATAATAAACTAAAATAGTAATGCCTAATTATTAGTAATGGTTTCAATTAGGCCCCTACTATTAATTTATTAAAAAATGAACGCATACTAAATCTAGATTTAGTACAAACAGCTGTAAAAAATGCGATACCACGAGATTTTAATAAAATTTTAATAACTAAGAAATGGCGCGAAATTAAGGCTCTCTCGCGGTGAGCCTTCCTAGGCTTGCGGGAAATTGAAGTCGTAATTTTAAAATATAGGTTAATTTTACAAGACCCAATTATTAGTCTAGTCAACATTTGGGCATGTCAATGTAAATATTAAGTACCTTATTATTTATAGATTCTTACCTTATATTTCAGCACATTGCTCCTCTGTAAGATAATAAACGAGATCCAAAAATTAAAATAGGCTTTGAATCTAAATCCTCTTGAGGTTAAAACAAAGATGCGCACTGTGTCATGCGTAGATCAGGTGTGCTGTGGTTTCGCCTTAAGCGACACGGCCTTATTTAGCAATGGTCAACAGGAAACAAGGAATTTAGGTTCAAGGTACAGCCATCATTACCATGGCAACAAAGGTCACGGCTCAAGCTGCGCAACTCGCTATTTTCATCATCGGCTTGTGAGGACTGATACAGATTTACAATAGTAATATTTCTTTCTTATTTGTAGCCTGCTTTCATTCATTTAAGATGGTTTGCTTATACATAGATCTAACACAAAACGTCTAAATATAAAGAAAAAATAAAAATTAAAACTAACTACGTGTTGTTGACCAAACTTTTCTAAGTCCTCTGTATCAAACTTTGCCGGGGTGAGTTTAAGTGTTAACACTTGCAATAGTAATGTTTCAACAATATAATTTTTTAACTGTTTTCACCAAGGGACACAATTCTTATTGCTATTCTTGTCTTTCGCCGACTTAGCCCTACCATAAGAACATCGCACCTTACAAGCTAATCTCAATTGATGTATCTGGCCTGCACTCCCGTCAGAGGCGTAGAGACCCCCCACGGCACTCGGGGCAAAGTTTCAATTTGGCGGCACCCCCCCCCCTATATATTTTTTATATTTATTATTCAAAACTGCAACTAAAATGAGCTTTTAATTATTTTTTCAACCCATTTGGCGCCCATAGGGTCGGCGCCCGGGGACATATGTACCCCCCCCCCCTTTCCGTGTTACGCCTCTGACTCCCGTTATTCAGGATGTTTATGGGAGTTTAGACACATTGTGAGATAATATTGACATAACTATTCGCCAGAAAAAAAATATATTAAGTTTAACATGGGAGATAACAATTTCAGTTACCCTTGTCTCCACAGACTAGTATTTCCCCTTTACAGTTCTGTTAGGACTAGGTAAGACGAACTACTTGACTGCAGCACCATACTAAACTCTTGTCAGGTGAAGTTTCTTGTTTATCCGGATTAATGAATAAATACAATTTTTAAAAAAAAACACCTCTAATTTATTTACCTATGATTCATCATAGTAAAGTTCCCTTGACGGTGTATGGAGCAAGTGAAGTAGAGTTCACCTGTTTCTTAGAAATAAGAAGGGGATGTGGTCAGCACTAGGCCCAGCCGCCTCAATTTCCCTAACGTGAGTTAGGTATCCATCGAAGCGGGGTGAACTCGGGTACGTTGTGTGGCTTAAACCGGGATTCGAACTCGAGACTTTCGGAGTTGCAGTCGTGCTCTACTGCTTAGCCACCGATGATAAAAATATCTACAAATTGAGTAAATACATATTCTATTTTTGAAATACTGCTTCTCAGTCTGAAAATGGGACAACATTTTTGTTGAATGTTATTTAGTCCCATATTAGCATTCACTTTCTCCTCAAAACGCAACCACTCTACTCCCGAAAGAATTTGATAGTATAGTAAGCCTCAAAGAGTACTTTCTATTTAATCAAAGTGAACACGCCATGCTCATATTCATTAATGTTAGATGAATTTTTTTCTCAGTACAAGTTTACTTAATATCAAACAAAAATGATATATAACTCTATTAGCCCTTTACTTTACGTTGTATAAATTGAAACAGAATTGATGGAAAATGTGGAATTTGTGCACCGTACCTTAGGGAATACACAAGCTAAAGCTAATTATTTTCGTTGTAAGTCGGCATTTGAGTAACAAAAGGATGTGCGCTTAAAGCAGTGCCCCTACCCCCACCCATTTACAGACACATCCACACCCACACACACACCACCACCACTACACCACGGCATCTGTTTCATGGTTGAACAATAACAGCCATCATTTTGTTCGCCTGTTTGTGAAGAAAACTAACGATGTACGTGCTCAAAATATTTAAATTAGACTCGCAAAACAAAGGACATAGACGAGGTAGATAATTAATGGTTAGGACAGGGGTCGGCAACCTTTTGGGACTGAAGAGCCAAAAGTTAAAATTTTCCAAATTTTCCAGGTTTTAACGAGCCGCCATACTTTTTATTACAATGTTATGGTATTTGATTAATTAATGTTAGGTATATAATTTTATTTTTTATTTAAAATAAAGAAATAGCATTAAATGCGAAACAATCTTTATTCTAATAAGTACATACAAAACAAAGTATTTTAGCTAGCTGTGCTAGAATAATATAATTAGTAATCAAAGAATGTAACTGTAATTTTAGAATAATATTTTACAATAATTACATCAATGGGAGCATTGGCCTTGCATGACTTTTGAAAGTTTGGTTAAATCTGGCTCATAACTTGTTGTTTTCAGTTTCAAGCACGCCTCCAGATTTGTATTTGTAAGTTGGCTTCAAGAGATGTCCACTTGTGCAGCTTAACATGCATGCTTTTCTGGACTTCCAGAAATGTCGGAAATGTTTGGGCACAAAGCGCCTCGTGATGAATTATACAGTGAAACGTTAAAATTTCGTGGTTTATTTTCTGCCGAAGAATTGTTGTAACACCTTTAAGTATTCCTGTCATACTTCGGGCTCCATCAGTTGCTATGAAAACTATTTTATTTATATCGATTTCATAGTCTTCCAGGCAGTTTTTCACAGCATCTGCTATGTCTTCTCCACCAGTTTGCCCTGAGAGCGGCAGTAAACCTAGTAGTTCTTCTATAGGACCTTATGACGAAATATACCTGGCGAATAGGGTAACTTGTGCCGTGTATCTTATGTCGCAAGACTCATCCATAGCAAGTGATATAGCAGAAGCCGACTGAATGTCTTCCACTTGCATGTGTGTTATATTTGAAGACATTTTAGAAGTTATATCTTCTACTGTTTTAGCAGACAGAGGCGAATCTTTGATTTTCTTCATGATTTCGGTTTTGTTTTTGAAATCACGAAACATTTCTTCAACTCCAACTATGAAACAATCTTTGGCGTAATCACCATCTGTGAATGGTTTCCCTCTTTTTTGCAATTTGTAATGATAACGCGAAGCTTGCCAGATTGACATTACTTGAAGATTGCGCCCAGTGGTTGAGCATAGAACTGGGCTGTTGGTTTTGTTTTTGAAGCTCTTTGACAGCTTTTTTCCGTGCCTCACCGGTTGGATATTGAACAGCGAATCGGGCATGTTTTGTAGTTAAGTGTCTCTCCAAATTGGACTTCTTATTGTGCGCCAGTTTTTCTTGGCAAATGAGACAAGTCGGCAGGCCATCTATGTTGCATATGAACGCAAACGACTCGGTCCAATCCTGATTAAATTCTCTATTTTCTTCTTCAATTCGTCTCTTCTTTCTATCAGATGCCATACTGGTGGCGGGGTTAAAATAAAGAGTTTTAAAATGTTATGCTGTTTAAAGTATTTTCTGCAGTATTTTTTTAAAGAGTATAGAAATTGAAATAATTTAATGATTAATATTTGCGCATTTAACTCGAGAGCCGCACTTTGACATCAAAAGAGCCGCATGCGGCTCGCGAGCCGCAGGTTGCCGACCCCTGGGTTAGGACGTCATAAAAGGGAAAGAGGAAAACAAGGGAGGGAAGTTGTAATTCTTTTTATAATCATGTTCTTTATGTGGCAGCCAGTTATCCCCCTCCCTACCCCCCCCCCCCTCTCTCTCTCTCTCAAACCCCACCCAGTAACCCAGCAATACACTTAATGGTATCAGGATTTAAGAAGGGAAAAATAAATTGTAAATTTATAACCCACATATGCTATACACAAAAACCATCATGTTCTTTTGTTTACCTAGTATATATTAATGCTAAAAGTAACAAGTAAACAATTGGTCGACTGCACTGAACTCGTTCTCTGTTTACATTATATAGTGCGCAAAAGTTGGCAACCAATGCTGGTTGAAGATGGAGATCTGTCCCCTGCCCAATGGTTGAGGTTATAATAACATTTGTTCTCACATGTAAATTTTCATAATATTGTCAGGTATAAAATTCATCGGTCAAGTAACGTAAGTGTTTATCGCATAAGTACAGTAACTGTTTTGCTTCCGGTATTAGTACAGTAATAATGTTGCTTATGGTATAAGTACAGTAACTGTTGCTTATGGTATAAGTACAGTAACTGTTGCTTATGGTATAAGTACAGTAACTGTTGCTTATGGTATAAGTACAGTAACTGTTGCCTATGGTAAAAGTTCAGTAACTATGTTGCTTATGGTATAAGTTCAGTAACTATGTTACTTATGGTATAACCGTTGCCGACCCGAGCTAGAAAAAACAACAGGTTTTCTTAAAACATTATCCTCTCCCCAGAAATGAAATAAGTAAATTTAAAGTGTGTGTATGGTTGGTCAGTGTAACTTATTTGTTTGTGTGACTCAGAGTTGTGTTTTTAAACTTTTTTTCTAATGATACACATCTTTGTTAAATTGTCCTAGCTTTTCAATAACAATAATTGCAAAGAAGATCAGACTGTAAAATGCTGTAGAATCATCTCAGTTACATGTTTGTATACTAAAAAATATTAAAATTTTCATACTAAAAAAAAAAAAAAAAAAAAAAAAGTGCGCAAAATTAATATTTTAAACATGTAACTCTTGGGGGAGCTACTATCTCCTACCAAGCGCTTAGCGGATGGGGGAGAGGCCCTTAGATATGAGGGTTAGCTGTGAATACCAAATAAACAGCCGTGGACCAACTGGTTTGTGGTCATGGAGGATGAGGTGGGATATCCATTGTTTTAGGATATTCAACCTAAAACATCTCGTAAATTCAAGGAAATGACTTCAACAGCGAGCATGGGGCGATATAACTCCAAACCCGGGCAGATGGGGCTAGTCAGCTGGGGACAGCAACCCATCTTGGAGAGAAAACCCCAAAATCAAGCAGCTGCTGCCTTGTAGTTTGTTCTTGGGTGTTCAAAGGCTATGGAAGCAAATCCAGAAAGAAAAGCAGGCTGAAGTCGGAGTCAACGGGCCATTTAGTACAGAGGCGTAGCGACCCTTCCCTGCGCCCGGGGACAAACTTTTCGATTTGCACCCCCCCCCCCTCAAGATTTCGTTTTGCATCCCTCCCCCTCAAACTTTCGATTTGCACCCCCTCAACCTTTCAATTTATTTTTCCAACCCATTTTGGCGCCCCCTAAGGTCGGCGCCCAGGGACATATGTCCCCCCCCCCCCCCCCGCCCCCCGCACGCATTGCTTTATTTTATGATGGAGGAAAGCAAAAGGACTAGTCCAGTTCATACACGAAGTTGGGCTTGTTGTATAAATCCTCCATTATATACTGAATTAAGAACGAAGAAAAAAAAAGAAGAAACATATAACTGAAACTTCGTGTGTACCAAGATTGTTATGTTACTTTTAATTAATTGTGAGAAGACAATACCAAAAAAAAAAAGTTGGACACGAATCTAAGCAACTAGATATTTTTCGAACAACCGTCGTACAAACGAACTGAAATGCATGTCAGATCTATAAATAAAACAAAACATAAAATTATTACTTCTCCTCCATGTTTTAATTTATTTAATGAATAAAAAAACAAAATAATCTACTCATTGTAAAGGTAAGTATTAAACTAATGAGTGAAATATAATGCCACTTACAGACGGTCTAATCAAGTTGACATGACGACGATTTCAGGAGCGCTGAGATCTAAAAATAGCCCACTTAGTGAGAGTGGTATAATGGCAGGCATTAATTAGCGTCTTGAGCAGGTAAGGAAATGTTAAGTAGGATTTCAGGTGAGATTCACTTAGGTGTGCGGGATTGAATTGAATTATGACGAGCGTAATGGCTTCGTCGTACTAGTTAAAAACTTGGGCCGTGGGGCTTATAAGGGCTTAACTGGGCTGCCCAGAGTAGGTTGGAGAGGTATAGCTGCAGCCCTTTGCTCCTCAAGGGGCTTCACATGATCAAGTCAAGCTAAATCATAACTTCATAGAATTAATTCGTATCATAATTTACAAGGTTAAGTAAAGTCGTAACGACGTCATATTCAATAAACCCTAATTGTTAAGAATCATGTTAGATCAAAGCCCGTTAAAGGATTGGATTGGACATACTCTGAGAAGGAAAGAAGTAAATATCGCGAGAAAAGCTAAGGACTAGAATCCCCTAGGGAAGGGGGAACGTGCGCCGGTTAAGGAAATCATGGAGAAAAACGGTGGAGTAAGAGGCTAAGACCGCTGGGCTTACGTGGGCACAGATAAGGGGAGCAGTCCAAAACCGAGTCCGGTGGAGAGGTGTGGTTGCAGCCCTTTGCTCCCCAGGAGAGGTGTGGTTGCAGCCCTTTGCTCCCCAGGAGAGGTGTGGTTGCAGCCCTTTGCTCCCCAGGAGAGGTGTGGTTGCAGCCCTTTGCTCCTCAGGAGAGATGTGGTTGCGTTCCTTTGCTTCCCAGGAGAGGTGTGGTTGCAGCCCTATGCTCCCCAGGAGAGGTGTGGTTGCAGCCCTTTGCTCCTCAGGAGAGATGTGGTTGCGTTCCTTTGCTTCCCAGGAGAGGTGTGATTACAACCCTTTGCTCCCCAGGAGAGGTGTGGTTGCGTTCCTTTGCTTCCCAGGAGAGGTGTGATTACAACCCTTTGCTCCTCAGGAGAGATGTGGTTGCGTTCCTTTGCTTCCCAGGAGAGGTGTGATTACAACCCTTTGCTCCCCAGGAGAGATGTGGTTGCAGCCCTTTGCTTCCCAGGAGAGATATGGTTGCGTTCCTTTGCTCACCAGGAGAGGTGTGATTACAACCCTTTGCTCCCCAGGAGAGGTGTTATTATACCCTTTGCTCCTCAGGAGAGGTGTTATTATACCCTTTGCTCCCCAGGAGAGGTGGGATTACAACCCTTTGCTCCGCAGGAGAGGTGTGATTACAGCCCCCTGCTTCCCAGGAGAGGTGTGATTACAGCCCCCTGCTTCCCAGTAGAGGTGTGGCTCTAGCCCTTTGCTCCCCTGGAGAGGTATGGTTTAAGTCCTTTGCTCCCCAGGGGCCATTAGTAAAGTTAAGTCAAGTCTGTTAGATCAGCATTAATCGAGGTGTATTCATTTATCCAGTTGCGTCTCAAGGCAAAGACGGGGGGGGGGGGGGGGGGGGGGGGGGCGGGTCGCACAGTGTGATACCAAATCGAAAAAAACAGAAAAATGTACTGACAATACAATGATTTATCCCCTTAATTTAACAAAACAATATGGAGACGGGTAACACCAAACCGAAAATTGTTGGACGGTGGGTAAATACCCGACCTAGTAACACCATAGCTCTTATTCTAAATTATTCTCAAGTTAATTTTTC